AAGTATGGTGAAAAGATACAACCCTGTCGCATTCCCTTCTTGATTTTAAACCATTAAGTGTCCCCTTGTTCTGTTTGAATGACAGTGTCCTGGTCAATGTACAGGTTCCTCATGAGTACAATCAAGTGTCCTGGAATTCCCATTCTTCTCAGTGTTACCCATAATTTGTTATGATCTACACAATCAAATGCTTTTGCATAGTCAATAAAGTATTCTTTGCTTTGAGCCAAGAACCATCTGATATCAGCAATGATATCCCTCATTCCACATCCTCTCCTGAAACCAGCTTGCATTTCTGGAAGCTCTCTGTCAATATACTGCTGCAACCATTTTTTAATTATCTTCAGCAAGATTTTACTTGCATGTGATATTAATGGTATTGTTGGGTAATTTTCACATTGTGTGGGATCACCTTTCTTTGGAATGGGTACAAATATGGATCTCTTCCAGTCTGTTGGCCAGGTAACTGTCTTCCAAATCTCTTGGTATAGCCGAGTGCTTCCAGTGGGGCATCCATTTGTTGAAACATCTCAGTGGGTATTCTGTCAATTCCTGAAGCCTTGTTCTTCACCACCAGTTCCTTCAGTGCAGCTTCAACTTCTTCCTTCAATACCATTGGTTCTTGATCATATGCCACCTCCTGAGATCAATGAACATCGACCAGGTCTTTTTGGTCCAGTGACACTGTGTATTCCTTCTATTTTCTTTTGATGCTTCCTGTATCATTCAATATTTTGCACATAGAATCTTTCAATATAGCAACTCAAGGCTTAAATTTTTTCCTCAGTTCTTTCAGCTTGAGAAATGCCGAGCCTTAGTGAAAATAAAATGAGGACTCAAAAATGTTTTTGAGATTATGGTCTTAATTTCATCATTTAAGTTTATGTTACATCTTTCAAATAATGTCTTTGGATTTTTGTCTTTTGGATTACTCTCAAATTTGAGGTTATTTTATGTTAAACTGCATGATAATTCCATTTTTTAAAGTTCCTACGCCTCCACAGAGGCCCGGCCTTTTTTTACATAACTGTTCCCCACCCCCTTTTTTCTTTTCTTTTAGTATCATCTTCCAGCTAACTTGCCCCAGTTCAGGTAATAGTTATTACAAGAAATAGCAAAGCACAATCACAACACTCTATATCAAAGATGCCATGGTAACATGTAAATAAGGCAAAACATTAATATATGTTACATTATAAACAAGCAAGAAATTTGGCAAGACAAGGGCCGACAGCTAATGTTTCCCTTTAAGGCACCACTGGTTTCGGCCTCAAAGGTTGAACATGGGCGATTCTGGTGCTGCAAGTTTTGCTGCATTAACATCTAATGTCACTTATTTCTGGCTTTCACTGAATACCTGGAGAAGCAAGACAGGGAAGAAGAAAATGAGGAAAGAGAAAACAGAGACAGAAGAGGGAAAAGAGAGACTGCAATGAGGAAAAACAAAGGTCCAAACCATTTCCTTTTTTGTCCCCCAGAACGCAAATTCCTCCTGGGATGGTGAGGAAGAGTAAATAATGGGAGTTTTTATGAAAGCCCAAGAATTTATTTTGTGAGGATGGTGCAGGATGAGACAGTGTTTCATTCTGTTGTACACAGATAGGTTCGCTGTGAGTGGAAGCTGACGCAACAGTACCTAACAACAAGGATTTATTTAATTTGGTAGCTGAATAGAAATTGAGGCCAAAAAATATTTAATTGTAAATGATATATTTCTTTGTTTACTGCAGTAACCTACACATATAATGAAGGTGTGGTAGTTCAGTTTGTGTGTCAATTAGCTAGGCCTGGTTGAATGGCTGGGCAGCTGGTGGTAGTTATTCTCCATGATGAGACTGGCAATCAACTCCATGGTGGGATCTACCACAAGCAGCTTAGTAGCTGCTTTGGGCATGTGGTCTGCTTCCCATATATAAGTAGTAGCTTTGGGAATGGTCTCTAACATATGGCATGCGTGGACCCTGCATGTAGCTACGTCATTGTTCAGCAGCCTGGCATGCTCTGCCAACCTTGGAACTTTCAATGGACTTGAATTAATGGTCTGCTGTGTGGTTGGTAACATCGGGACTATGCCATTGTATTTGTCAACCTTGGGCTTGTTAGCCTCAGCAGCCAGTAGCTGCCTGAGTGAAGAGATGCCTCTAGTTTCAGTGAGCCGGGAGCAAGAGGCAGAGCTGAAGCACAAGGGGGAGGGGCTTTCACACAGCCCCTAGAGCCTGGCACTTTGAACTTGGACTTAAAGCCTCCAAATTGTTAGAGAATAAACTCCTGTCTGTTAAGGACATCCCATTTGTAGTATATTTCTGTCAGAGTGGCATTAGGTAACCAGAACAGAAGATAAATAAAAGGAATAAAGATCCTCAATGCAAATGAGCATTTAAAAAATAAATAAATAAATAAAAACCCAAACACCCCCATCAAGTAGATTCTGACAGATTGTTCCATCTTCCTTCCGCCTTCCACGGAGTGGCTAGTGGGTTTGAACCTCCAATCTTCTAATTAGCAGTCTGATGCCTTAGAAACTGCACCATCAGATTCAAATGAGCACAATAACTACAAAACACTCTATAAAGGGATCGGTCAATGAAATAAAACTTGAATTCATCACTTTGTCAGATCCTGGTATTGTTTGTGCTTTTGACCTTATACCACGTTTTCACTGTATCTGAAACTCATCAGGTCAAATATGAAAACACAAAGGTTACTAGTAACTATAACTGATTTGCTTTTAAATTGTTGAAACTTTGTTTCCCCAAATGGCATTTATAATAATAAGAACTATTAAAATGGAGAAGAAGCTGTCACCATTTAAAAATGTCATTTAAAAATCAATTATATTTGTTTTAGACTACACAAACACATTGTTCCACATCCTACTTTGGTGAGTAGCTACTGGGAACTTAAAAGCATTTGCAAGCAGCCATTTGGATGCAATGATGGGTCTCTCCTCATCCAGAGCAAAGAAGAATGAAGAAAACCAATTCGTCCAAGCAACTGGTACACCATGCAATCCTCAGCCTACAGGGCTATGAGACCGGAAGAACTAGATGGTGCCCAGCTACCACTGTCAACCACTCGGAGGGGGATCTCTGTAGATCCTGGATAGAGTGGGAGAACAATGAACAATAAAACTCAAAATCATTTGGGGGGGGGGGAAGGACTAGGTTTGCTGGTCTGATAAAGCCTGGTGGAACTACTGAGACTATGGCCCCTAGCTGCCCTTCAGATCTGGGATTGAACCCACTCCTGTGGCTTCCACCCAAACAAAAGACAGGCATATGAGCTGAACATTTACATTAGGTAGATACACTACTTGGAGAGCTCAATTATAGGAGAATAGAAGGGCTGTGTATGCACAGGGAGACAGCCTGGGGTGCAGGAGTACATGGGAAGGAAGGAAACAGGGAAGAGGTAACTATGAAGAGGAAGTGGAAGGGAAGGTGTTGCACTGTGGGAAATTATAGTCAATGTCATGAGACAGTATATGTGAGCTACTGTATGGAAAGTTAATTTGCTCTGTAAACTTTCACCCATATCACAATAAAAATTAAAAAAAAAAATCAATTATATTTGTTTTAAAAAAATCAAAGACCCAAGTATGAAAACATAGTTTATTTTCTCATTCAGACTCTTGTAGTTTATTTTTACAAAATAACTGACAAAATTTGTTTCCTTATTACAGAATATGTAATACATATAGAAATATATATGTAGCACTTAAGTTATAAACACACAGCAAAGTCAGCATCACATAAACAGCAACCATGTTTTTCATATAATTAAATTTTATCAGGAGATAAACTTTTTATCTTGAATACGTAAATAGTCTTTGATGCTTTTATGTCAACCAGTATTTACAAAAGCTAGCCTGAAAACTACCACCACCTACAAAAGTGATAAGCTTTAGGATACAATTTTGCTCTCATACCATAATAAGACTTAAAATTACAGTAAGCCAGCAGGAGCTAATCACGTCAATGCAATTGCAGTAGTTGGAACTACTAAATTGTGATTTTAAGATGTATGCTATGGAAATTCAAAAGACATGCTTTTGAATCTTCAGTTCTTGTCTTCTTTATGGCCCAACCACTTATTAATCCAAGTTAGAGTTAGGCCCCCTAATCAGCTGTGATAGAGGGAAGTTGCATAGGGGCTTTCTTCATCTCTGAAAAAAAGAAATCGAGCATAAATCAATGTTTTAAAACTATAGGCAGAAAACGAATATGCATACTTATTACATAATGTAACATCCAATTGCCAAAGAAGGGCAGGATTAAATCAACTTATTAATAGTGTGCATTCCTTGAAAATTGTATGAAATGAAAATATTAAGGTGTACATGGTTGTCTCCCCCAGGTAGTAAAGAATTTGGAAGAATTGGTGTCTCAGTTATTGAAATAAAGAATATTTGTTTATATATGTAAATATGTTATATTATATTATTCTGTTGTTATTATCAGTTGCTATCAAGTTGAGTCCGCCGCAGGGCAACCCCATGTGTGCAGAGTAAAACTAACTGCTCCACAGGGTTTTTAAGGAAGCAGATCACCAGGCCTGTCTTCTGAAGCACCTCTGGGTGGGTTCAAACCTCAAAACTTTTGGAAGTAGTCGAGTGCTTAACCATTTGCACCACCCAGGGAACTTATATTAAATTATAAATTAATTACATTTTTATATTCCACCTCTTTCCCAAAAGGACTTGTGGTGCCTCCAATAAAGGGCATACATATAGTAACATGAGTAAAATAGAAATGAAAAACCAGGACTAAAGAAAGGAAAAGGAAATATGAATTATAAGAAATATTATAATAGTTGATTTTGACCATAAATTTTAGTGGCAAGCTTCTCAGAAGCCTGGACAAAAATAAGAAACACAGGAGGTTGTGCCAATCTTGAAATCATAAAGGAATAAGGAAACCAATTTTATAGGAGAAAGGTCTGTTTTAGTACCAAATTTTTTAAAAGAAAAAAAAAAAAAAAAAAAACCCAATAAGTTCACGTGAGATCTTATTAAGGAAACACGAAGCAACAACCAAACTCGCTGCCATTGAGTCGATTCCAACTTATAGCCACCCTCATTGGGTTTCCAAGCCTGTAAATCTTTACAGAAGTAGACTGGTCATTGTTCTTCCACAGAGCAGCTGGTGGGTTCAAACATCCAACCTTTGGGTCAGCAGCCAGATGCCTATACACTACCAGAGATCCTTATATAGGAAACATCAGGTAACACAAAAAAGGAACAATGTCTTTGACAAATTTTATAAGGATCAGTATTTTATAAGTATTCTCTAGGATGCTGCACCCTTGAAGGTATCAACTAGATGCCTCTACTTGGCTTAGCAATTCCACCTGGAAATGCTAGCTGGGCAGTTATGCTATCAAAGCAAGGAAGCAAACGTTTTATAATAAAGCACGTGACTCGACGGCAAATAACAACAACAACAACAACAAATGACAGATAAAGCCTTGTTGCAGAATGCAGTAGCTTTGCATTACACAAATGTTAAAAATGCCTTTCTAGAATTCAAATACAATATTTAAATCAAAAAGAAGAAAGGTTTGGCCAAGCAAGGGCATTTTAAGAAACAATTCATTTAGCCTCTGACATTTTTACCAGAGCATTTTTACCTGCTTTCTTCTTTTAGTTTCTTGGCTGCCTGTGTTGATAACTTAATTTGCAAGTCTAGTCTCTGCAGGAAATCTCGGGCTGACACTTCCTCGGGCTGTGCAGGCTGAACATCAGCTTCCTGAGGATGACTGGGAGGAGAGAGGTCTTTCTTAGCCACCACTGGCTCTTCTTCACGAGAAAGACTGCTTTCAACAGTTTCATTTTCTGGAGAATCAATTGAGTTAAGTCCATTAAACAACAAAGGCTTCTCTGATATAACTGGGATGTTCAACGTTTTCTTCAGAAATATACAATCATTGGTAAACAGTTTATTTGCCCTTTTTATCTGCTCCATCTAAAATATGAAAAAGAAAACATCGAGTTACATACAACTAAATCCAGGAGTAGGGTTTATTACATAATGCTGAGCTAAAAATACTCATGTGTTCAATGCTCCTTCTGGATTTGAGATTCTAATTCAAGTTTGGTCCCCTCCCCAGACTGCTCTCGTTATTTCAAGAGATGTCAGGAAATTGTTTCCTAATTAAAACAACAACAACAAAATCCTAATTTTTTTCCCCACTATCTTATTTCCCCTACAAGATAGCTTTTACCAACATGGGCAGCCTTAAATCCCTGAAGTTAAAAAGAAAAGTGGAAGTTTTAGCACTTATTTAATAAACACATGCAATCAAGATGTATTGATACCAATACATCACTGCTGTTGAGTCAGATTCGACTCACAGCGACCCCTCCTTGGGTTTTTGAGGTGGTGTCACTACAGAAGTAGATTGCCCAACCTTCCTTCCGAGGAGTGGCTGGTGGGTTTGAACTGCCAGCCTTTGGGTAAGCAGTCAAATGCCTTAGGCACTAGCCACCAGAGCTCCTAAGATGTATCGATAATTACTGGTAATTGGAATGTGGAAGTTGGAAACAAAGAGAAAGCATCTATAGTTCAAAAATATGGCCTTGGTGACAGAAATGGTGGTAGAGATTGCATGATCAAATTTGCAAGACCAACAACTTATTCACTGCAAATATCTTTTCTCAACAACATAAGCGGCTGCCATACACGTGGACCCTGCCAGATGGAATACACACAGAAATCAGATCTACCAGATCTGTGGAAAGAGGCAATAGAGAAGCTCAGTATCATCAGTCAAAACAAGGTCAGGAGCTGGACAAATCTGTCTTGGAGAAGTACAGCCAGAATGCTCCTTAGATGCAAGGATGGCAAGACTTAGTCTCACATAGTTTGAATATGTTATCAGAAGGACCAGTCCCTGGAAAACAACATCATACTTGGTAAAGGAGAGGGTCAATGAAAAAGAACAAGACACTCAACAAGATGGACTGACACAGTGGCTGCAACAATGGGCCCAAATATAACAACAATTGTGAGGAGGGCACAAGACTGAGCAGTGTTTCGCTCTGTTGTTCACAGGGTCACTGAGTCAGAACTGACTCCATGGCACCTAATGACAACATCATCTTGGACACATACCTCACTCATACACACATTCGTACAGTGTTTCAATCTTTCTACCCTGTGAACTGGGTATCTGTAGTTTCACTCTACACAAAAAGAAAAGCATCAAAGCTTATAGATTATGTAACATGGACTCATTATACAATGCACAAATGAAGAAGCTATGATTTAATACAGGATTCTTTTCATAACCTCAAACTCTTTCATAGCCTGTGGACACTTCCTACAAATCACAGAAATGGGGAAGGGAGGTGAGGTGAAAGGGAGAATGGAATTTACATATATTTTTAACTTTTATAAAAGCTCTACAATCTAAATATTATTACCTCCTTTTTAAAAATGATAGCTTCTTCATTTGTGCATCGTATCATTAGAGTGAAGGGCATGGTGGTAAGCGCAGCTAGGACTGCTGGTTCCAAACATGTTGTAGAAATGTCTACTTCTATGTTCATCACACTGTGTTAAAATGTCTTCACCTGGCTAGCCTGAAACTTTTTTTAATTATCTCTGAGTTTTGGTGGTGTAGTGCCTAAGGCATTTGACTGCTAATCAAAAGGCTGGCGGTTCAAACCCACCAGCCACTCCTTGGAAAAAAGGTTGGGCAATGTACTTCCGTAGCGATACCACCTGGGAAACCCAAGGAGGGGTCGCTATGAGTCAGATCCGACTTGACGGTAGTGCGTGCGTGCGTGCATATCCCTGCCCTTAGAGAGGTGTTAAGCAAATCAATGACCTCTTCTAAAGTCAAACTCTTATTAAAATAAGCGGAAAAGAAAAGGAGAGAAAAAGGAAGGAGACTAAAATATTATTATGTACCAGTCACCATGCTAAGCACTTTACAGGCACTACAGCATCTAATATTCACAACCCTTCCCATATGCTATGTAACCCAGACAGTTTGGTACAATAGGTAGGTACACAGACCTGGTTCAAGTCCCACCTTCACCAACATGAACTGTCTGAACATGAGCATGTTATTTAATCTCATTGAGCCTGTTTCTTTATGAGTGAAACATATTACCTACATTTCACGGGGTTGTTGTAGGGATTAAGTAAGAGTTTATATGCACACTTACATAAATGGGATGTGTTTGTGCATGAAAGAAATGAAAGAAGGATTACTTAGTAAAGTGTCTGGCAGGACTCTATTTTCCAATGAGAATATTAAGGCACACAAGGGTTAATTAATTTGACCAAGGCTGTATAGCTTCTTAACGGTTTAAGCTGGGATTTCTGAGCTGCTTTCTGTCAGATTCTAAAGTCCATACAACATCAGGATTAAAGTGTGACTTGTGGGACTGAATTACAGGGAGTCTTTAATTCCAAATCGATTCTGAGTAGAAAAATTAGATTTCAACTTCAAAGAGCCTACAAAAACAACAGTCAATTAAATGAGTCCTGTTCCCTCTGTTTCTTACTATGAGCTGAATCCTTAACAAGTAGTATATTTAAAGCTTTTTTTCCTTTTTAAAAAAAATTAAAGAAGAGAGATAGAAGGGGTGGTCTTTTGGGTTCTGGTTTCTATTAAAAGAGAGAAGGCAACAGAAGGAGAGAAAGAGAGGACAGAGAAACATGAATATGGGCAGATGCATTTTATAGACAAAACTGAAACCTAAAAAGCTCAAGTATCTCTGGTACTAATTTAGGCTTAGTTTTGAGATAGTGAAATAACTTAAAGCAATCCACACTCTATTCTGCCTTTAGTACCCCTTGGTTTTTGCTATCCAGCATCTACTTCTTCCCTCTATCTTTGTGCATAAGCTTCCAACAGCACTAAGTACCCCCTGGCATTAAGGGTGAGTCTATGACTCATTCCTGCTCTTTGGAGAACCACAGTGCCCTGGTTTTCGTGACAGGCCACAGTCCATCTGTGAACCATTCACAGATGCAAAGAGACTGTTGCTGGGTTTGAGAGGCAAGATCCTATGTTTTTTCTGCTAGAAGGAGATAGGCCTGGAGTGCTGGCAACCATCCTGCCAGCTCATGGAACCTGATAATAAAGCCACCTTGTAGGTGAGCATTTGCACCTCTGGATCAAAGTCTGAAGCCAGAATTCTCCTAGACCTTTCAGTTCCATGAGCCAATAAACTTCTTTTGTGTATGTGTGTGTGCTTGCTTAGACCAATTTGAATTGGGTTTTCTTTCACTTGTAACAGAAAGAGCTCTCATTGATGCTGTGCCCTTTGAAATGCTTATTTTCATGGGCTTACACATACTCATAGTCATTGCTCCCTGAAAGTAAAGAGGACAGTGAGAGGACATCCAAGAGGAGACTGCCAAGATCTGAATTGCTAAGGAAGGGCTGGGAGCAGTAAGAGTATATGCCCAATTCCTTCAGGGTAAGAATTGTTATTTCTATAGCCTCTCTGGGTCTGACAAAATTCTTACACACACTGTGGTGAAACGAGTTCCTTTATGTGGCCTTTTGCCTTTGGAAAAGCACCTTGAGAGCCGCCCCCTTCCCCACCACAAGCCCCAAGTTTTCTACCCCAGAAGGTTTGCTACTTTTGTCCAGGTTGATTGACATTTCCTGGGTAAACTGTAAGCAAGGATGGTTTGATATTTTCTGCCTGGCCTTGGCCTGCAGCCTGCTCTGTGATTGGTATGCACCTTGCAGGGTTAGGTGACTGATGTTGGAAGGAACTAGGACAGAGGAAGGGAGCTCTGGTAGCATAGTGCCTAAGGCACTTGACTGCTAACCAGAAGGCTGGTGGTTCAAACCCATCAGCCACTCCTCGGAAGGAAGGTTGGGCAATCTACTTCTGTAGTGATACTGCCTCGGCAACCCAAGGAGGGGTCACTATGAGTTGGGTCTGACTCGACAGCAAACAACAACAACAACAGGACAGAGGAAAGGAAAGAAACATTTATTTAAAGAGTAAAATCACAGAAGCATAAAGGCTGGCTCTCTCTCTATCCAAGAGAGCAGCAGCCCTGACTAAGACAGGGCTCTTTTATATTTCTTTTTTCAGAGTTGTTTCTTTGATTGATAGTTGAAAATGTCATTCTCTCTGGTCCCAAGGTTGGCTCATTCTTTCCATTTGGGTCATATTGCCCTTATTGTTTTATTGTTTCTTTCCTGCAATTTCTGTTCAGAAATAGATCTTGATAGGAACTAGATATTGGCCATTAGGGGATTTGTTGGTTAACTTATTTTCAGGAGTACCAAACTGGAACTTCTAATAATAATCAAACATTAATCATTATAGGGTTGGGTAGTGTGGTGGTTATGTTTGTGTGTCAACTTGGCTGGGCCTGGTTAAGTGACTGGGCAGCAGGTAGAAGTTATTCCCCATGATGAGACTGGCAATCAACTCCATGGTGGGATCAACCACAAGCAGCTGAGTAGCTGCTTTGGTTATGTGGTCTGCTTCCCACATACAAGCAGCAGCTTTGGGAATGGTCTCTAGCTTGTGGCATGCTTGGACCCTACATGTAGCCATGTCATTGTTCAGCAGCCTGCCATGGTCTGCCAACCTTGGGACTTAAAATGGACTTAAGCTAATGGCCTGCCATGTAGTTTGGTAATATCAGGACTGTGCCTTTTTACTTGTCAACCTTGGGCTTGGCAGCCTCAGCAGCCAGCAGTTGTCTGAGTGAAGAAATGCCTCAAGTTCCAGTGGGCTGGGAACGGGAGGCAGAGCTGGACCCCAAGGTTGAGGGGCTTTCACCCAGCCCCTAGACCCTGGCACTTTGAACTTGGACTTAAAGCCTCCAAACTCTAAGAGAAAAAACTTCTGTTTGTTAAGGCCATTCCATTTGCGGTATATTCTTGTCAGAGCAGCACTAGGTAACCAGAACAGGTAGTTAGCTATTTCCAGGAGTGTACATTCCTTTTTGCTGAGGATATTCATTGTTAGATTTGA